AGCAGGAATTCCTGATGTGCCGGTCATGGAGGGAAGTGACCCCCATGGCCATGCCAGTCCTGTGAGGAACGTCAGCCGTTGTGACGGGACCTTGAGCAAGACTCCCCAGCGGGGACTCAGTGTAAGCTGAATTATCATCCTGTGCTCGTAAGCTGCATCGTGTGAGACAAACCTAATTATATTTTCTGGCTGCGCGGATTCTTTCTCAGGTATAACAGATAAATCCTGACTATTATGACTAGGATGACCCTTGCAGACGCTCTTGGGAATTTTCTTGACCTACATCACTCATTTGTCACACTAACTTATAAGGGTGTAGAAATACCAATGACAAAATGAACCCAGCCTTTGCATAAGGGTATTCATCTGAGCATAGGTACTTTTCTGTAATTGAAATCTTAATGAGGAAGTACACCCGTCATTGTGAGCCTTCTTGTACTTTTAATTCTGCTTTGCCAGCTACTTTTAGTTTGGGTATGTAGTCTGAGCCTAGAAAGAGAAAGAAAAGATGCTGAAAAAAATTATTTAGTGTTTCCCCAATATCCACAGCAAACCGTCTCAAAAGTGCCTGGGCACTGCAGCTGTGAGATGAAGACGGTACAGCAAATTGCTGGAGCTGAATCTTCTTTTTGCTTGTAAGAATTGCTTTTATATCTCAATACGGTTTTATAGGTAAATTATTCTTTTCAAATTCCATGCTAGAGTCGAAGGGATTTTTTTTTCTGGTGATATTTTGCAGAGGTTCAGACTGTATTTCCTCTCTTGTTTTCAGACCAAAAAAAAAAAAACCAACCCCAAAACGGGGGGTTGTGACTCAGCTGGCTGCTGCAGGCTCAAAACTCTGAGGCTAGCTTTACGTAAGAATGATAAACCATTTTTATTTTTAGCTTTTCATCTGGACATCCTGAAGTTCTTCAAAAGATGAGCTATACTTACCTACATCTCGCATGTAAGGAGTCTGAAGTACAAAGCATTACGTTGTTTTTCAAAATTACTAAAGAAAACTGAAGGAGTTAAAGAAAAAAAATTAGTGGGAAACTGACATGTATTGAACTTAAATGTGAAAAAAAAGGTAATTTCCTATCATTGTAGTAGAAATTAAAAATTTTAAGCATAAGTTGACTGGATAGATATGAATAGAACTTAGAGGTTTTTGAAGTATAAAGTCATGAACAGAAATAACCACAGAGATGACCTACAGCTTGCCCAGACACCGGATTGCATCCTGGGTCATGGTGTGTGCTTCCCCCAGCAGCCACTGCAATTATCAAACGTGTGGATTGTACGCCTCATACCAGCTCCTTGTACAAAACTGTTACGGAAGTCATGTCAATTTTTGTCTGCATTGCGTGTAGTCCTAAATTTTTTAATATTTTGAAAGCTTTCCCAGGTTGTCTGCTAGAAGTCAGACTGTGGTCAGTAATTTAAGTGTAGATAACAAGTAACAAAAAACTATATTTCTAACATTCTGAAAATGTTTTATAGGGATTTAAAAATAGGCTTAATGGAAGCGCAAACACTTTATATCCAAACAAAAGAAATATTTTGCTATTGTGTATTTTAGTCAGTGGTAACCATAGGTTTTATACAGAGAAGCCAGGCACTGTAAAAATATTTAATATTTATTCACAGATTAGTGCATGCTACTCTTCAGACATTAAAACAGCTTTCCATTTCACTGAGTATCCCATAACGCCTGTATCAGGTGCCAATGTGCTGTCCTTGCAGACATAGACCACCTGATAAATTTAAATTCTTAGAAGAATTCTTATTATAAATTCTTATATTTATTTTATATGACGGTTTTCTGTAGAAATGTATTTATCTTAAAGCTATTTTTAAAACATACTTTAGCGTTCAGAAACACGACTGAAAATGGATCATGATGCTTGGTGAGTTGCTGTCGGTAATTTGTTTAAGTGGAGGCTTTAGGGCCTTATCCGTCATGGGTAGTCAGGAATTAGGGCAGTGCTGAGTTTGGTATTTATGAATAATTTTGTATGTCAGACAGTAAAAATTACCATGGTATTAAGAAAAAAACCCCTTTATACTATGGTATAAAGTAAAAATCAGGAACCAGCGGGAAAAAAGTTATTTTAGCAAGTGGCTTTGTAAAAAGTAAAATGTCTGAGGAGGAAGGCTCCCACTGGCCCCAGCATCCCCCAGACTCCCAGGGCATCAGCAACACTGGGGTCAAAGAAGGAGGCCAGTGGCAAATTCAGGTGCCCTTAGACAGGTCTTAGAGGGTTTGGGGTTACAATTTCAGACTTAAGTTTAACTGGAGTTTCGACTCCCTAGTCCTTCATTAGAGCTAACTCTCAAAATCCACTTTTAGAAGACAATTTTTTGAACAATGGATTACACTGTATAATTCTTGCTGTACCGATATATGCGTATGCTTGTCCCAAGCTGGCACTAAGCTTTATAGAGACTAACAAAGAAAACTTTCTGCACTAAAAATATTTTCCACATGATAGTTAAAAAAACCTCTGCGATTGTCCTTTAGGTCTTGGTGAGTTTGATTTGAAAAAAACTGTTAGAAGGAAGAAAAGCTATTTTATTAGGCATGTGCTGAAACTCCTGTATGTTTCTCTTTCAATATACCCTGACTAAACGTACATGTTTTCAGACTTACTATGTAAAATTTTCTTACAAAATAAAAAATTTTCTCTAGTCACTCTCATGTTTATTTACCCGTGTTCATTAGAAGATTTCAGCTGGAATTATCCTTTGTAGCTTATTAGAATCATGGAATCATGAAATATTTTCAGTTGGAAGGGACCTCTAGAGGCCCAATCCCCCTGCCATGGGCAGGGTCATCTCCAACCAGACCAGGTTGCTCACAGCCCCGTCCAACCTGGCCTTGAATGTGTCCAGGGATGGGGCATCCACCACTCCTCTGGGCAACTCTTTGCAGTGTCTCACCACCTTCATCGTAAAAAATGTCTTCCTTACATCTAGTCTAAACCTACCCTGTTTTAGTTTAAAACCATCACCCTGTGTCCTATCGCAACAGGCTCTACTAAAAAGTTTGGCCCCCCTCTTTCCTATATGTGGCAATGAAGGCACGGACTCCAAGTTCATGCACAAACAGAAGTGGAATTGGAATTGGAATCCCTTTATTTAACACTTTACATCCTTTTATACTGATCACAAAGCAAAGCCACTGCTTTTCTCTTATCACCCAGCTAGTTGGCAAGCGCTGAGTCCAACCCTTATATGGAAGCACAGTTCATCTTGCAAAGTCCATTGGTCGTAGCATTGACCTCACGTTTCTCACTTAGCTCTTGTTCATTTCTCCCATGGCTTGCAGCCAATGAGACATAGGATATCTCCGGTGTCCAGCTCAGCTGCCGCCTCTGCAGATTCTGTACTTGTTCCCACACCTATAGGCCCCCTATACAGTTGGCCTTCTGTGCACTTGCATATTGCTGGGTCATGTCCAGCTTGTCATCTCCCAGTACCCCTAAGACCTTTTCTGCAGAGTTGCTTTCAACCCCCTCATCCCCCAGCCTGTATGGATACTGGGGGTGGCCCTGACCCAGGTGCAGGGCCTTGCACTTGGCTTTGCTGAACCTCACGAGATTCACATGACCCCACTTCTTCAGCTTGCCCAGGTCCCTCTGGATGCCATCCCCTCCCTCAGGTGTGTCAGCCACACCACTCATCTTGGTGCTGTCACCAAACTTGCTGAGGGTGCACTGGATCCCATTGTCTATGTCCCTGATGAAGATATTAAACAGCACTGGTCCCAGTACAGACCCCTGAGAGACACCACTTGTCACCATTCTCGATTTGGACATCAAGCCATTGACCATTACCCTCTGGGTGTGACCATCCAACCAATTCCTCATCCACCGAACAATCCACCCATGAAATCCCTCCAATTTAGAGAGAATGATGTTGTGGGGACCATGTAAAAGGACTTACAGAAGTCCAGGTAGATGACATCTGTGGCTCTTCCCTTGTCCATTGGTGTAGTCACTCCATCGTAGACAGCCATTAGGTTCGTCAGGCAGGACTTGCCCTTGGTGAAGCCATGCGGGTTGTCTTGAATCACCTCCCTGGCCAGCATGTGCCTTAGCATAGCTCCTAGGAGGATCTGTTCCATGATCTTCCCGGGCACAGAGGTGAGGCTGACAGGCTGGTAGTTCCCAGGGTCTTCCTTTCTACCCTTTTTAAAAATGGGTGCAATGTTTCCCTTTTTCCAGTTCCCAGGGACTTCACCTGACTGCCATGACTTTTCAAACATCATGGAGAGTGGCTTGGCAACTACATCGGCCAATTTCCTCAGGACTCGGACGCATCTCATCAGGTGCCATAGACATATGTGTTTTTAGTTCCCTCAGGTGGTCTCTAACCTGATCTTCTCTTACCATAGGAGGGATTTTGCTTCCCCAGTCCTTGCCTTGAGGTCCATCCACTCAAGAGGTGTGGGGGAGATGTTGCCAGTGAAGACTGAGGCAAAAAATTGTTGAGTACTTCAGCCTTGCCCTCGTCTGTTGTTACCAGTTTGCCAGTCATCCCTACACAACCAGGCAGTGTCCCCCAGCAGGACGAGAGCCTGTGAGCGCTATGCCTCCTGTAGCTGGACTAAGAAGGCTTTGTCCATAGGCTCCCCTTGACTGCGTGGCCTGCGGGAAACACCAACCACAAGGTTCCCTTTGTTGCCTTGGGCTCTGATTCTCACCC